TTTAACTGTACTCTCCCGTCCAACACATCCATTGACAAAATCTTCTCTACAATTGGTGTTGGATATTTCTGCAAAGAACGAGGATTCACTTCTGAAATCCTAGAACTTGTGCAAATGCTCGTGAAGAGTACCAGAACCCTGTGGCAGAAAGTGAAGACCAAGATGTTGCCAACACCAGCCAAGTTCCATTATATTTTTAACTTAAGAGATTTGAGCAGGATCTGGCAGGTACTATCTCCTTCTCCTTCTTCTTCTCTGCCTTCTCCTTCTCTTTCTCCTCTGTGTTCTCGTTGCCTTCTTCTTCTTCTTCTTCTTCTTCTCCTTCTCCTTTGCCTTCTCCTTCTCCTTCTCCTCTGCCTTCTCCTTTGACTTCGTCTTTGCCTTCTCCATCTCCATCTCCGTTTTTCTGCTCCTCCTCCTAGATGAGAGACAACTTATGCTTTAATAAATAATCTTTTCAGGGAATGTTAACAGTGACATCAGAAGTTATGACCGACAAGAAAGTTCTTCTGAATCTGTGGAAACACGAATGTTCACGAGTGATAGCCGATCGCTTTACGAACCAACCAGACAAAGACTGGTTCGAAAAGGCTTTGAATAATGTTTTAGAAGACGACTTTGGTAGCGAAGCTCTGGAAATGGTCGATGCTGAACCTTACTTTGTGGACTTTCTACAAGATGCCCCTGAACCAACAGGTAAAAATCAATGAAAATATTAATGCTTTCTACCCAACTTTCATTTGTTAAATCTCTTAATCAAATTGTTGTTCATTTGATCTTTTTATATTCTTCTCTTCTATTTCCTTCTTCATCTTCTCTGTGATCTCAGTCTTTCTAGTTTCTCAAGATCAGGAGAAATCTTCTGAACAGCCGAAAAAAGACAAACAAAAATCTCTCTCGAAACGTAAAAAAACWACACCAAAGTCTGGTAATAACCGTATGTGCATGCACGCATGCTCAGTRTGGGACATAAGGTCTCAACTCTGATTGGTTCTCCAAGGAARTGATATCTGGTGGTGCGTCTACTACGCATGCTCATCTCGATGTCCGAYACATCAATCATGTTGTACTATTTGCATGCTTGACAAAAGATCTTGAWTACTTTGTTGAWCATGCGCCGTAAACTACGTTGAACATGGACTCTTCATGTCACATTGCGCATGCTTGAATCAACATTGGTCAGTTTTGAATGTGCTGTTTTGCTTTAGGTCGCTTCAGATTTAGGGAAGGATTTTGCTTCTGTTGCYAMCACGCCTTTKCAATGTCTTCYTTCCTTTCCAAGTTATCGATATTTTTATCTTGACAGATATCAGCTGCATGATAAAATATTAAAATTTGTGGTCAGCGGCTTTCYATTTAATCCCTTAGTAACCCCGCCTTGCTTCCAACAGGTGACGAACCWGAAGACACTGAGTTCGAGGCGCCTAAAATCTACGAACCAATACCAAGCCTAGAGAGCTTCAAAGAGAGGTTGAATATGTTCATTGAGATGTATAATGAGGCGATTCGTGGAGCTCGCATGGACCTTGTGTTCTTCAAAGTAAGTACTGGGTTTCCTGTGTCATTTTAATAGTAATGTAGTCAACATACTCGATTTCTTTTACCAGGACGCCATGACTCACCTTGTCAAGGTGTCGCGTATCATAAGGACACCACGAGGTAATGCTCTACTYGTCGGTGTAGGRGGCTCAGGAAAACAGAGTTTAACTCGATTAGCTTCGTTTATTGCTGGYTACGAGATCTTCCAGATTACATTAACAAGGTAGGCAGTTCGATCCAATTCATGCAATTATCAGGTTTTTCATCTATTTGTCTTTTCATTCATTGGCATTCATCTCTTCATCTATTGATCTATCTCTTAATTCATCCACAATTTCATCAAATCCTCCATCAGTTCATTTATTTTCCCTTCCATCCTCTTTTTATCTATCCATTTATTTCCATTTTTATATCCCATTAGATCGTACAATACCAGTAATCTGATGGACGATCTAAAGATCCTGTACAGGACGGCTGGTCACCAGGGCAAAGGAATCACGTTCATATTCACTGATAATGAGATCAAAGATGAAGCTTTCCTGGAATATATGAACAATGTACTGGCCTCAGGAGAGGTAAAAATCAGCGTGCATCCGAGGATCCTTTGCTTGTATCCCAGGATCCTTTGCTTGTATCCCAGGATCCTTTGCTTGTATCCCAGGATCCTTTGCTTGCATCCCAGGATCCTTTGCTTGTATCCCAGGATCCTTTGCTTGTATCCCAGGATCCTTTGCTTGTATCCCAGGATCCTTTACTTGTATCCCAGGATCCTTTGCTTGTATCCCAGGATCCTTTGCTTGCATCCCATAATCCTTTAAGTGCAGCCCAGGAGCACATTCATGATGATAACTACGATATCAGGGTTAAACGTTGTTTAGTATCGACTGACTACTTTTCAAGATGGGGCTGGGAACTGTGAAATCATAATTACTTTTTGCTTAACGCTTCGCATACATGTGAGCCAAATCTGATGATCTCAGTTTTTGAAAACATGAATATATATTATGCTTCCTTGGCTTTTCGTTGTTTCATTTCTCATATTCCTCATGTTGGTTTTTTGTGCAGGTATCTAATCTATTTGCGCGTGATGAGATCGATGAGATGACAGGCGATCTAATCTCTGTGATGAARAAGGAATATCCCAGACGGCCTCCGACCAACGAAAATCTCTACGACTACTTTATAACCAGAGTCAAGAATAATCTACACGTGGTTCTCTGCTTCTCTCCGGTGAGTTTGTGATAATGATGATGATATTAATGATGATGATGATAATGATGATGATTATAATGATGATGATAATGATGATGATGTTTTTTGACCAGGTTGGCGAGAAGTTCCGCAATCGATCGCTAAAGTTTCCAGGTCTCATTACTGGTTGTACAATGGACTGGTTCAGTCGCTGGCCAAAAGATGCCCTTATCGCAGTCGCATCGCACTTCTTGTCGTCCTTTGATGTCGTCTGTAAGCCGGAAGTAAAAATTTCAATGGTTAACACCATGGGTCTCTTCCAAGACATCGTAGCTGAATCATGTGTGCAGTATTTTGAACGATTTCGTCGACAGACACACGTGACACCTAAATCTTACCTGTCATTTATTGAGGGGTACAAACAGATCTACACTCAACAACACGAGGCCATTGGTCTCCTTGCTCAGAGAATGAACACTGGTAAAGTGCAATACTTTTGGTCTTTTTTCCATAAAAATACTTTTTTTCTTTTTTGTAACCATTCATTCCCACCTTCCATCCCTTTTATCCTACCTTCTCTAATTCATTCATGCAAGCATTTATTCTTTTATCATTCTATCAGTTCATTTAATAATCCTTTCATTCCATTTCCATTCGTTAAACCATTCCATATTTCTCTCACTCATCCATCGAGTCATCCATTCTTTCTTTATTCCTCTAGGTCTAGCCAAGCTTATCGAGGCCAGTGAATCGGTTGCWAAGCTCTCCGAGGAGTTGGTGGTCAAGGAGAAAGAGCTCGCCGTTGCATCTAAGAAGGCTGATGTCGTTCTWCAAGAGGTGACGGTCAGTGCAACGGCAGCAGAGAAGGTGAAGAGCCAGGTTCAGAAAGTAAAGGACAAGGCGCAGGCTATTGTAGACGAAATCGAGGTAAATCTTAATATGAAAGCACAGTCATTGACGGCCATTATCATGTTAGAAATAACTTTCAACTGTATCATCATAAACGTTTTTAAAAACATCTTTTACTTGATATTACCGTCTATCTTCAGGCCGACAAAGCCGTTGCTGAAGGCAAACTTGCTGCAGCTAAACCAGCATTAGAGGAAGCAGAGGCAGCTCTTCAAACCATTAAACCAGCCCACATCAGCACAGTTCGTAAACTTCAAAAACCACCTCATCTGATCATGCGCATCATGGATTGTGTATTRCTTCTATTTCAACTAAAACTCGAGCAGGTCACTCCCGACCAAGAAAGACCGTGTCCCAAGCCCTCCTGGAGCCTTTCACTAAAGTGCATGAGTCAGTCAGGTTTCTTACAGACCTTGTTAAACTTTCCAAAGGTAGTGTATTGTTATCAAATAGCAATTTATTATTGTTAATTGTTAGTAAGTAGTATTTACTTCTAATAATGCTGCTAAACATAGAACACGTTTAGCGTACTCCATTTTTTCAACCCATTTTTTCAACTCCATGATTTTCGACCGTGAGAACACAATAACCAAAAGAAAACAAATATAGTGAAGTCTGCTTCAAGAGGTTCTAATAATATTCTAATAATAATAACTKATACCTTTCTAAGGATTCTATAAATGARGAAACTGTYGAGTTATTGGAACCMTACCTGAACATGGAAGACTACAAYATCGAAACAGCCAAGAAAGTATGCGGYGATGTTGCAGGATTAGCTTCATGGACACAAGCAATGGCGACATTCTATGGAGTGAACAAGGARGTYCTTCCTCTTAAGGTTAGACAGGGTTATCTTTAATGTTATTAAGAGAGAGTTTMTGATATAAACTGTGTCATATTACAGGCCAATCTTGTGATACAAGAAGCGCGACTTGCTACTGCAACTAAAGAGCTCAACAACGCACAAGAACAGCTCGACGAGAAACAAAAAGAACTTGACCTTGTGCARGCTAAATACGACCAGGCAATGAAAGACAAGCAGACTCTTGTAGACGATGCTGAGGCATGTAGAAGGAAGATGGCTAATGCTACTGCCTTAATCGATGGCTTAGGAGGCGAAAAGGTTCGTTGGACTGAGCAGAGCAAGAAGTTCGAACAGCAGATACAGCGSTTGGTCGGTGACGTTCTTATTGCGACAGGGTTCTTGTCGTACTCGGGTCCTTTTAACCAGGAGTTCCGAACTCTCATTCAAGAAAGTTGGAAAAAGGAGATGAGAAAATCGAAGATTCCTTTCTCTGAGGTATGAACGTTTGCAATTTTYTTTTCACTTCTTGCGGTCATTTCCTCATCCCTCATCTCTGTCCATTCCAAACTTTCTCCCTTTTCCGTTTATTCTTCCTTCTTTTTCTTTCGTTTTCTTCTCTCTCATTCTCTGTCCTTAGTTTTTATCACCGTTCTTCTTTTTTTCTCATGGATGTTTTTTTCTTTCAGGATATCAATCTTACTACAATGCTGACAGATGCAGCCACCATTGGCGAGTGGAATCTGCAAGGACTGCCTAACGATGAGTTATCGATTCAAAACGGAATCATCGTCACTAAAGCGGCTCGATACCCATTACTTATTGATCCWCAGGTACGACTTGTGTTCGATTGAATCAGTACGACGTGTGTTCGATTAGTACTTGTTTTAAAATTGTTTTTTTCTGCAATGTTTTCTCGGTCCGACTTTTTGAATAATGTTTGAATAATAAGTCTACAAGTTCCACACGAACACAGCTTCTTCCTCCTTTATTTTCGTAGTAACATTTTATTGTATTTGTTTTTGATATGATATAATTATCATTGACGAGGTTAACGATATTATGTCATTATTGATATTATTTTTCATTTTTCTTGTTATTGAATGAAACATTCAGGGGCAAGGCAAGTCCTGGATCTTGGCTAGTGAGGTTAAACATCCACAAACGCCAAAGAACGCATTCGTTGATCTCGATCTTTTTCTCTTTAWAATTCGTAATTCTTATTAACAAATCAAACATTTTGTACACCTAATGCAAATAGTCCCTTTCCCAAAATGCTTACGGTTTTCTCGATTAGATTTCTCTCGCATCCTTCCTCTCAAATCTTATGCACTTTTCCATTTTATTTGTAATTTTAACCAAGTTGAATTATTGAGTCAGTCATTTAACTTCGCAATTAACGTATTCGTCGTTCACGATTTTTCTCWCTTTCAATTTTTCAAAGTTTTGTCACGAACTCAGTCGTTAATTACGTATTGACACTATCTAGTAGTAAATTATAATAACATATATTTTTGTTTCATTAGGGTCAGGGAAAAGCTTGGATCCGATCCAAGGAAGGACAGAATGAGCTTCAAGTAAGAAAAACGTTGACTTAATGATGGCTATTATGTTGATGATGATGATGGTGATGATGATAGTGATGATGATGTATCTGTTACTGGAATATCATTTACTCTTTCACTACTATCGCTGTCTGATAGCACACGGCAACTGAATGCACTCCACGCAATCAATCGCTACATATCGAAGTCGAACTTCARTTGCATTCACCCATATGTTTCCTGCAACGGCAGGTGGTTTTGACTCAATGCCCTAAAACCATAAGAATGAACTTGATGTAGAACCAATAAGCGCTAATATTATCCTAATTTTYATCCTCAGATCACTTCTCTGAACCACAAGTACTTCCGTAATCACTTAGAAGACTCCCTGTCATTGGGAAGACCGCTGATCATAGAGGACGTGGGCGAGGAATTGGATCCTGCCCTTGATAATGTTCTAGAAAAGAAYTTCATCAAATCTGGCAAAACGTACAAGGTAAGGAAATACTTCTCAGAGACAACTGTTATTCGATGATTTAATAACTCTATGTCAATGCCCTTATTAGGTCAAAGTCGGTGACAAAGAGTGTGACGTMATGGACGGATTCCGATTGTACATCACAACTAAGCTTGGTAATCCCTCCTATACTCCAGAAATTAGTGCCAAGACTTCTATCATTGACTTCACGGTAACAATGAAAGGCTTGGAAGATCAGCTTCTCGGCMGAGTCATCCAGACTGAAAAACAGGTAATTCTTTAAACAGGAAGTTTCACTCACTCGCTCGGTCACTCAATTACTGTGAACTTTTGTTTTTTAAGGAACTGGAAGCTGAAAGGACGAAGTTAATGGARGAAGTTACCGCGAATAAACGACGTATGCAAGACCTGGAGGACAACTTATTGTACAGATTGACTAGTACMCAGGGCTCTCTAGTAGAGGACGAGTCATTGATTGAGGTCCTGAGTTCTACTAAAGCTACATCAGAAGAAGTCAGTGAAAAAYTGATCGTTGCAGCTGAAACTGAGTTGAAGATAAACACGGCGCGTGAAGAATATCGACCAGGTAAGTCTGGTTATCTTTAATGTCATTTCCAGGTAAACAAATACCATATAAGGTTGAATGTTTAAAGTGGCTTCATTGTGTTGTAATACTTTTGCGTTAATGCATGCACTCGGCCAATTGTTTGCGTTTAAATTATGAAAACCTACTTATGACAAGAAAACATCTTTGTCCATTTKTGTACTACATCAATGGAAGTATAGGTATCCATTGTGCCTGTTATTTATTTACCTACAATTAAAACGATACTATAAGATTGTTTACAAACACCTTACTAACCTCTTATCGTTCTTTCCAGTCGCTAATCGTGGTAGTATCCTGTATTTCTTGATTGTTGAGATGTCAATGGTWAACGTCATGTACCAAACATCCCTCAAACAGTTCCTTGGTCTTTTCGATATTTCCATGGCACGATCCCAGAAGTCCCCAATACCAGCTAARCGCATACAAAACATCATCCAGTACTTGACCTTTGAAGTATTCAGGTACACCACTCGGGGTCTGTATGAGGAACATAAATTCTTGTTTACCCTGCTCTTGGCGCTAAAGATTGACCTACAGGAGAAACGAATAAAACACGAAGAGTTTCAAACTTTGATTAAAGGTAAGAAAATCCTGCGACATTTTTAGAGTATTTCCAGATACCAATACAATGATCATATGATCAATGATAATGATGACAATCAGAGTGGATGCCATAAGCCCGCGAAATGGATATTAGGGCCCGATGATATGAAGTGGGCTGGCCTGGTTGACCGGGCTGATTTCATTTGTTTTGTGTCCCCGAGGGAAAAGAAAACAAACGAAACCAGCCCAGTCAACCTGGTCAGCCCGCTGAATATAATGAGAACCTAACACCTAGTAATCGTCAACTCCATTATTTTCTTTTATACCTATTCGACTATTACATTTGACTGTTAGATGATTATATAAGTCTAAAGTTTATGTTCTACTGTGATATATGATTTAGTATTAAGAATAAATTTCGTAGACGCATAATTCGGTAAGAGACAGAAGAGAATCGTTTTGGCTCATGACTTTCGGAAGTACAGTTATTATCGACTCACAAGCGACGTAAATTGCCGTAAACAACGGTATATAGCACTGTTTATAGCGGTTCACAACTGGGAATAAACATAACTTATACGGGAAACGATAATAAGAGACTTGGAGGAAGCCATAACAGAATTAAAACTTACATTTTGTCCCTTCTGCAGCTTCAAAACATGTAGAAACTTGACACACACCAAAAACAAACACCAAACCAAACACACTTGTACCAAAACCATGTGCGACCAGGCTAGTACCAGGCCACACGCGGTCACTATTAGCCGTGTCAAAACTAACAACAATATGTCTTTCGTCTTAGGTGGTGCAGCTTTAGACTTGAACGCTGTCGAACCGAAACCCAAGAAATGGATTCTTGACCTAACTTGGCTGAACTTGGTCGAGTTGAGCAAGCTGCCTCAATTCACCTCCATATTAGGRCAAATCACCGGAAATGACAAGGCATGGAAGACATGGTTTGATAGTGAGGCTCCTGAGGATGCCGCAATACCTGATGGGTACCATGGATCRTTGGATACGTTTAGGAAGCTACTGCTGATTCGTTCATGGTGTCCAGACAGAACGATYAACCAGGCAAGACGGTATATCACAGAGTCTATTGGAAAAGAGGTATGTATGCAATGATTGTTATCATCATCATAATCATCATTATTCTTGGAAGATCAGGGAACATGAATACCCTGGTTCCTCTTTTAGGCGGTCTCCTTCGGGAATTTCCAAAAAGGACGTTTTATGAAGCTTGGCCGCTGAATAAAGTCAATGGGGGACTTTTTATTGTCGTCTCTTCATTTTCATCAATGTCATAATAACATGCCATCATCACTGTTAATCTGTTTGTTTTTCAGTTTGCTGAAGGAGTTATCTTGAACCTTGAAGGCATGTGGGAAGAGAGTGACAATAGAACTCCTATGGTATGTTTCTTGTCAATGGGATCTGATCCGACAGCATCCATTGAAGCACTGGCTAAGAAACTAAGAACAGGTAATATATATTTCATCCTGATTGTCGTGATTGTGATGCTGATGATAACGATAGTGATAGTCGTGATAATGCTGATGATGACGATGAAAGTAGTGGGAGTGATGATGATGATAGTGATGGTCGTGATAATGCTGATGATGACGGTGAAAGTAGTGGGAGTGATGATGATGATAGTGATGGTTGATAATGATGATGATGACGATGAAAGTAGTGGGAGTGATAATGATGATGAAGCATGCGCAGGTGGCCAAGTTACTTTTGTAAATTTAACCAACTTTTTCCCCTTGACCATTTCAGACTGTCGCAATATCTCCATGGGTCAAGGTCAAGAAGTACACGCACGCAGGCTCCTTACGCAGTTTATGAACGAGGGAGGCTGGGTACTGTTGCAGAATTGTCACTTGGGCTTAGGCTTCATGGATGAGCTTCTTGAAACGGTAAGAGTAATTTGTTAGAGGCATAAATATAAAATAAATAAATAAAATCAACTTTGTCTTAAGAGGGTAAACACGTGCCAATAAAGAACTGATGGCCCTCTATACTCCCATACTCACTACCTCTACATTAAAACATTCTTGAAGCTCTTTTTTGGAATAGCCCAATACTAATCCAAGTGAAATGCTCTGCCTATAGGTGACAGGTACGGAGAATGTAAACGAGAAATTCCGTCTTTGGATTACGACCGAAGTTCATCCTAAGTTCCCGATCACGTTCCTACAGTCGTCCATCAAATTCACTAACGAACCACCACAGGGCATCAAAGCTGGTTTAAAGCGAACCTATGCTGGTATAACACAGGTACAGAGAACTTTTGTTACATACAATTTAGATACAACCATAGAAGATTTCCTAAATGCACAACCTAGGCTATTACAATAGTCTCTTTCACGGTTCCCCTGCGCCATCTTGAAAGGTAGCCGTGCCTTTGCACCGATGCGAGACGACCGTTGAGCGTGCAATGATAGATACCTGTGAAAAATTGTCTGTAGGTGTGAAAGAAGGTTTCTATCATTACACGCTAAACGTTCGTCTCGCTTCGATGCAAAGGCACGGCTACCTTTCAAGATGGCGCAGGGAACCGTGAAGACGACTATTGCTAAAAACGGTTTTGGTTTTGGTTTTGGGTTCGAATACAATAGGATTGAGAAGATGGACTGGTGATGCCAGTGATTATGATAAATTGAAGGTCGTGTTGATGGTGATAATGATCGCTTTGGTAATCGTCCATATCTTAACACAAGGAACCCATTTGTTTTTATAGGACCAATTAGACATCACTAACATGCCACAATGGAAACCTATGCTGTATGCCACGGCCTTCTTACATACTGTTGTACAGGAGAGAAGGAAGTTTGGTCCTCTTGGATGGAATATTCCTTACGAGTTCAACTCGGCTGACTTGACGGCTAGCGTACAGTTCATACAGAACCATCTCGACGATATTGATATTAAAAAGGTAAGAAAGTGAATGGGAAATGAAATACTGGGATTGAAAGAGATTAGTGAGAAGAAAGGAGAGAAAMAACKTTTAAAGYGCAGAGGCGAATTTTTATCTCACTCGAAGAAAAGATATATCAACGTCCTTTTGATTWTYAAGTGACTTACCACCTTMGAAATTCTTGGAATCGAACATGGCCWACTGGTACTCACTTATAATGTAATTCTACGTTACTTATCCATCCCTTCCCCACCATTTTAGGGAGTGTCATGGACCACTGTTCACTACATGATCGGTGAGGTCCAATATGGCGGTCGTGTTACAGACGACTTTGACAAAAGGCTGCTCAACACATATGCAAGGGTTTGGTTYGGCGAGTTCATGTTCCAAGATTCGTTCAAGTTTTTCCAGGGTTACAATATTCCTCGATGTATGCAGATCGCTGACTTTAGAAGTGCTATTGAAGAAATGCCACCTGTTGACACTCCTGAGGTAATTGACCTAAAGATTTCATTGTTTATATGTAAAAATATAGGAGTTTATATTCATTGGATCGGCCATTCATTCATTCATTTCTTCATGCATCCATTCATTTCATCATTTACAGGTATTTGGTCTACATTCCAATGCTGACATCACATACCAAACAAAGACGACCATCGATGCCCTGGAAACAATCGTAAACATCCAACCAAAAGACAGTTCAGGTGGGGGAGGGGAGACTAGGGAGTCTATTGTCTTCAAACAAGCTAACGACATGCTGGATAAATTACCACCCGACTACCTACCCCACGAGGTAAGATTGTGTTACTTTGTCGCTTGAATTGTTAAAGCACTTAAGAATATAGCTGCAATAATTGACCAACGAGAGCGCGCGTTATATCGCTGTATAACGAGCAATCAACCTTACCTTCCTCAGATCAAGTCACGACTTCAAAAAATGGGAGCCCTGACACCAATGAATATCTTCCTTCGACAAGAAATCGACCGAATGCAACGTGTGATCACTCTTGTACGAACAACACTCATTGATCTCAAGTTAGCCATCGATGGCACGATTATTATGAGTGAAAACCTYAAAGACGCCTTGGACAATATCTACGATGCACGTGTGCCTGGCTTATGGAAAAAGGTATGGTCTGYGCATGTGCAGGAGTCTTAACTCACATAAAAGTCCCACATGGCTCTGCCATTAATTTTTTCGTGAATGAATTCCTATGTATTTGTGGATATGAAGTTACCTTACTTTAAGCAACACAACGTGGGTCACATTTGTGTCATATTTACACCTACTTGCAGAAACGTTGTCATAGAAAATAGAACATTCGAATTTAGTAAAAAGAAATAAATTAAAACAAGACAAAAGAAAGCGTTCAGCCTCAGTGATCTTCTTTTTTCTTTTTAATTTATTCCTTTTTACTAAAATACAAATATCCTATTTTTTTATGACAACGTTTTCGCAAGTAGGTGTATGTAAAACAGTACGTTTTTTGTTTTTTAGATATCTTGGGATTCCGCTACACTTGGTTTCTGGTTCACTGAACTTATCGAACGTAACGCACAGTTCTCAACATGGYTGTTTGAGGGACGACCAAATACTTTCTGGATGACTGGTTTCTTCAACCCACAGGTACATGAACCTTGATGTGGGATGCCTGTGTTAATGATGATGATGGTGATTGTAATGCTTTGTTTTCGCTATGACGTCATAAAATATTCGGCGAGATGCAAAATTAATTAACTATTAATTATATATCAATAATATTAATAATTACCAAAACTCGTATTCCACAGGGCTTCCTCACAGCAATGCGACAAGAAATTACTCGTGCCCACAAGGGCTGGGCTCTGGATAGCGTCGTCTTAAGTAACGATGTCACACGTTACATGAGAGAAGACATATCTTCRCCWCCCGCMGAGGGGGTKTACGTGTACGGGCTCTTCCTCGATGGTGCAGGATGGGATAGACGAAACTGCCGCCTTGTTGAACCCCCTGCTAAAGTCCTCTTCACCCCTCTCCCCGTGGTGCACGTCTATGCTGTTAACACWACCGGGGGTAAGGATCCCAAGTTGTACGAGTGYCCAGTGTACAAGAAACCAAGACGAACTGACCTTGAATACATATTCTGTTTGAATTTAAAGACTGTWCAGAATCCTGACCACTGGATTCTYAGAGGTGTWGCGTTACTMTGTGACACTAAGTAAATTGCGTRACACATTCTGTGACAGATTCAAAGATGTAATGCCTAAATTATTGTAAAACAAAACATTGTGTTGTGTGATATTGTACCTTAATATTTTATTCTCGTATGACGCGTGGCGATTCAATGAAGAATGTGGATTTATAAATTAAGAAATGCAAAATACAGACATTCTAAAAATTAAATAATTTCAAAAATATCAATGGRAAAGACAAGCATGTGTGAAAAGATAGAACAAAAATAAAGTTTACAATTAATATTTGAGTTGAAGCTATTCTCTGCAAAATTACGCGTTTTGGGAGGAGGGGGAAGATCGCTTGGAATGGGCTCTGGGGCATGATGATTTGCGTCCATGAGATATCGCAAGTGTGCAGGCATTTCTTGGTCCTCTGATATGGACTAAACTCGTGTTATCAGTGAAAATTCGCAATTTTTGGCATTTTTATTTGGAGAGGTTAGACTTCCAAAAAATCTATATCCAAAATTGATGAAATGGATGCAATACAAACTACCGTTTACTGTGATTAAATCTTTACATGAGAGCAAAACAAATAAACACTACAACTATGCCTTAACCTGTGTTAAAAGAGAATTGAGCATATTTTTTAGATTATAATTTTGTATCAAAATCTTCCTGGTCAGGAATGTCCTTTCTGGAATCGTTCTCATCTTGCATACCCTTTCCTTTCGATTTGCCTTCGTCACTTGAAACATCTTCCTGTTCAATATCAGGTATTTTATCATTTTCACCTTTGTTTTGGCTGTCGTGACATTCTTCGCTGCTCTTAATTTCGGTGTTACTCTCTTCCTCAGAGCCCTTTGTTTTAGAGACTTTCTTCTCTACCCCCTCTTCCGTTTCTTTCGTGTCAAAGCAGACATTCTSTTTGTTCTTGTCTGCCGCGTTTAATGCATCACTATCACTTCGTTCGCTAGTGTTCATCTCTTCCTCATGTTTTGCTTTGCAAGGGTCGCTATCTTGTTCATTGTCATCTAATGGTTCTCCAATTATGTCTTCGGCAAGATCTGAGTAGCGATTTGACCATTCATGAAGGGATCGGCGGTTAATATCCTGGCTTAAAATTTCATCCACTGCCTTCAAATCTCTCTCTTTACTCTAAAAAACGTAACTTCATTTAGAATATGGGGAGAAAGCGTAGCGAAAAACTGCTACACGGCTTCTATATCGGAAGACAGCAACACAACGTGTGCATGGCAATGAAACAAAGAGTTTTAGCACGGTGATGTCAAGATATGGAGAAACGATTTTGAAGCACACAAACCAAATAAATAACGAATATACATTTTAAGATGTTACTACTAATGACGATGTTAGTGACTATAAGATATGATAATGATGATGATGAAGGTGATATAATATTAAGCAGTTTTGAGACAAGTTCGCACTAGCTGCTAGTAACAGCCGATACTCGCGACTCTACGATTACGGCGGGACTTGAGGAGGTAGTCTAATGGTTATGGTACAGTTAGAAAAACAACAATTTCATTTTCTCACAAACCTTCAGAGATCTTTTTAGTTCGTTCAATTTCAGAACCTCGGTATTCNAATCGTTTCTGTTGTGTCCCGTGATTGGCTGACCTGTACAGTTGTGTTCTGTGATTGGCTGACCTGTACAGTTCTCTCTTCTGATTGGCTAATCTCTTCTGTTTTCTCCTGTGATTGGCTAATTTGTTCTGCTTTGTTCGGTGATTGGCTGACCTGTACAGTTGTGTCCTGTGATTGGCTGACCAGTTCTGTTCTCTCTTCTGATTGGCTAATGTCTTCTGTTTTCTCCTCTGACAGGTTCGTCTGTTCAGACGAACTAATCTGGCTAATCTGTTCTGTTRTGCCAGCCACTTGGCTCGCTTCTTCACATTTTTCTTGTGATTGGTTSAGCTGTTCTTCCGTACAAGCGACTACTTGTTCAAAAGGTGCTATATTTGYTTCGTCCTTTGATGATAGACTCTCTTCAGATGGCGATTCTTCCACGGARGGCGWTATTTCTGGAGTGATTTCCTSATCTTTTTCATCAGTGTTTGAGACTCTAGACTCATCGTTAGGCGAAGCTGGGTCAACCTTGTCAGTAGACTCAATCGTTTGCGACATTTCAGTTTTTTCAACTTCGCTTTCATCTATTTTTTCGATTTTCGCTTCGGCTTCAGTTTTTTCGGGGACRGAGATGGGCGTGGCAGKCTCARGTGCTTCCTCGTGCTTTTCTTGTCCACTGAGATCATTAGGTGGATCTCCTCCACCGCTGGCCATTACTGTAAGATCTAATTGTTTTTGGTTTTCCTTGGGGGAAGAGCCAAATGATGCCCGTCTCTGGGTGGGTGAGGTTTTTTGCAGGTTCCCGTCATACTCATAAATGCCACCAATACCTACAAAAAAATGATGTTTTAAATTAACATCGAGATGTTTTTTTTTATTTAAGCTGTCACTCATATATTAGGGTGTCGTTGTAGTGGTGTTGGTAGAGATGTGACTGATGTTTACAACATTCATATTTCGCTGTTGTTGCTGCTGCTATTGCTGTTGAAGTTTGCTGTTGTTGATGTTGTTACCAGCTGTTGCTGTTGTAGTTTATTGGTGGTGGTGGTGGTAGTGGTGGTAGTGTTGCTGCTGCTGTTGTTGTTGTTGTTGTTGTTGTTGCTGTTGTAGTTTACTGTTGTTGTTGGTGGTGGTGGTAGTGTTGCTGCTGTTGTTGTTATTGTTGTTGTTGTTGCTGTTGTAGTTTGTTAATGGTGGTGGTGGTGGTGCTGTGTTGTTGTTGTTGTTGGGTTATCACGGTTTCTCCTACTGTCGTACGTGTTGCCTTCTCGTCGTCACGAGCTCATGGCAGGCAATTAATAACCATTCTATTCATACCTAATACGCTACCACAACGTTTATTCATTGAACTGGTTTTCTTGCGCATCTTGACATTGTCATTACTTTGCTGGTTTGTTTTMCGTATGATGACTTCTCCTCGTTTTGCAGCAGACAAAACTGATATCCACTTATCCATTGCTTCTTGAGAGTCCGCCGCGAGGAAAAGCTTTTGAGCTTTGGGGTCTTGGCAGTCAACTTTAAAAGCACTAAGACACAAGAAAACGGTTCTTTTTACTATTTTTATAGGCTCGAATAAACCCTTGTGAAGATATTACAATGCTTTCTCCTYTTTCGTGCAAAAATATCACTCACTCGTCCACTTACTATTTTCTTTTCAGCTCAGGAGCAGCACTAACWGAACGTTTCTCGTCCAGAAATATAACCCCACCAGCCTCGATATCGAATGACGTCTTGAAATAATACAAATGACGCTCTTTTAGAACGACCCACTTTCTCTTCCACGATGAAAATATCGCTCCTCCACCTACAAGAACAATTATGACTTAGCATTAAATTAAGTTCAAAGCGCTTTGAGAGCCTGTCAGCCTCGAAGACCATCAACTACCTTTCTTTGCRAGCCAGCCTTCATGGTCGACATCACCAAGTTCGCGACAAGAYTATCGATGGTTGTCGGGTACTTTAGATTTGCTGTCAGCGTGAGATCGTTTTATTACTTCACGTGTACCAATKACTTCGACTTCCTTTTCGCCTAAGAAAAGAGAGAAAAGAATGAATGAAAAG